GGGCCAGCCACACTCTGCTTTGTGTATTTATAGTAAATGGAGATCACAGATTTACAGTTAACTAGCCATATATAATTATTTGAGTGTTCTTTGTGCAATAGGTTAAATTGGCTAATAGGTAAGGTAATAGGCTAAACTAGTCAACAAATTAATGATGTCATATAATTATTTGATTCTGCAGCTAGCTGTGCTACTCTTCCTTTACATTAAATAGAAGAAAAACTTTCATGTAGCTGATGCCACACACGTTGGTGGTATGCCAAGTTAATCATGTGTTGAAAAACTAAAGCATGTGGAGGACTAACACTACCCATACCCACCCCACCCTAAAACCTTTTGAGGCTTGTAGCTAATGAGTGTTCTTGGGCCAGCCACACTCTGCTTTGTGTATTTATAGTAAATGGAGATCACAGATTTGCAGTTAACTAGCCACATATAATTATTTGAGTGTTCAAATTGGCTAATAGGTAAGGTAATAGGCTAAACTAGTCAACAAATTAATGATGTCATATAATTATTTGATTCTGCAGCTAGCTGTGCTACTCTTCCTTTACATTAAATAGAAGAAAAACTTTCATGTAGCTGATGCCACACACGTTAGTGGTATGCCAAGTTAATCACGAGTTGAAAAACTAAAGCTTGTGGCAGTGTGTGATTTGTGAAATGACATCTCAGTGGGCATAGAGGCCAGAAAACCAGAACACTGAGCCGCACCAGACCGAAAAAATCAGAAAAAAAACAAACAGGCACCAAATTGGATCAAATCGGTTTCAGTGCCGATTTCACGCCTTACAAAATCGAACTGGACTAGATTGGCTGTGTATTTTTTTAAAAATTATTGAAGTCCTATACTAAATTTCTAATCCCATAACTAATATTTCCCCAACACCTATCTTTTCTAGGCTCAATTTTCTCTCTTTACATGAAATTGGATTATTTGTAAATAACAAAATTTGAAAAAAATTAAAAAAAATCCGGTCCAAAACCGGAAATCGCACCGAAACCGATTTAAAATGGACTGATCGGTTTCATAAATATTTTTCACCAAAATTAAACCAAACTGTACTGATTAAATAGTACAATTTCCAATTCCGGGGTGAGGTAAAAACTAAACCGAACGACCGCGCCCTTCCCTAATCCCAAGTGCAAAGAAGTGCTTCTCCTATCTCGTAAGGACTTGGACACAGTTTAACAACTGAGATTTATTAGAAACCTCTCAAGCATGCCTAGAAAGTGGTTTTCCGTAACAACAATTCTTGACACTGGCTCTTTAATTGCATGTAAACTGTATTGCTCCTTACAAATCAATCACAATTTGATGAGGCGTGTGGGCTGATCAAGTTGAATTGCTCATTAAGAACAGAAAAAGAAAAAAGCACATGACAAAATAAGAAAAAAAAACACACACTTCAAATTGTAATTGGTTCGTAAAGAGAGAAAAAAGAAAGAAAAGGAAAACACAAAAAAGGAGTGCTAAGCATCAAAATAATTCATGATGGGTAGGTACATGAGATTTCTGTTGCACCTAAAAAATGTGACTAGAGAGAGAAAAAAGAAGAAAAGGAAAACACAAAAAAGGAGTGCTAAGCATCAAAATAATTCATGATGGGTAGGTGCATGAGATTTCTGTTGCACCTAAAAAATGTGACTAGAGAGAGAGAGGAACACCCTTTAACATGAATTTTACATATTTAAATCACAGCAAACTTAAATCTTCAAAAAAGACTTTTTGTAAACATGAAGTGAGAGAAGTGTTTGGTTGGAACACCCTTTAACATGAATTTTACATATTTAAATCACAGCAAACTTAAATCTTAAAAAAAGACTTTTTGTAAACATGAGGTGAGAGAAGTGTTTGGTGGGTTATTTTGTGGCCATGGTTCTCATAATAATTACAGGAGGGCAAGTCACCCCTGAGATCGAAACACCACATTCTGCAACAATTCTTGATGTGAAGAGGGGGATTGAGGAGCGTTTGAATGTTGAGGTGGAGAGGCAGACCCTGTGGCTAGACGAAATAATGCTGCAGGACGAGGACATAGTTGGAAATTACTTCCCCCAACGATATGGTGTTTTAAGACTCAGTGTGACACCTTTGCCTGGAGAACCAAAATGCATTATTTGGGTGAGGTATAAAAACGAACATTTAGGGTTTGTGAGAATTAGAGAAACAATCATGGTGGTTGATCTGAGAAGCAAAATTGAGAGGCGTTGGGGGATTCTGAGTAACATGACTTTGTTCCATCTTGATACGGAAATGATCGATGACCGTCCTCTTTCTGCGTATTATATAACAGAGAATTCTGTAGTTGAAATTAAAATTGAGATTGCACCTCGTTAATTGAGGTATTTTAAGATGATATGGTGATAGATAATAATAAGTCTTTGGTTTTTTTGGTTAGAAGGAAGCTTGATATAATATGGAGAAGTTCAAAAATAGATAAAATCTTTATGCGATACAAATATTGAATTGCTAAAAGTAGTTTTTTCTTTTCTTTCTTTTCTTATGAATGCAATTTTCTCCCCTTAAAACATTAGATAATTATCATTAATAATGTAAATCTCATTCACATATGGGCATAAGGTATAGATCAAATTAATTAACTTATATATCTATCCTCTATGATAATAAAACATATTTGTGTGAGATTATAATATCATATCAACACGTTACATGGTGTTATAATTTGATAGATTATGAATTAAAAATATTCATATTTGACTAATTAAATAATTTTGAACCGGACCATACAAAAAAGAAGAAGATGAACGGCCACGATCGTCTGATCGGTTTGATCAATGCAACCACATTCATACCCGCTAAAATTGACCTCTTTCTAAACAGAGCTTCTAAGCAAATCGAGCTTTAGACTATACAGAGCTTCTTCTTCTTCTTTGCTTTGACAAACAATGTCTTCTCAGAAAACCTTCAAAACCTTGAATAAATTCTTCCCAACAGACCCCACATTGATATCCAACCAAGAAATTGCTCAGAAGATTTCTAAAACCCTAATCAATTCAGGCCTTCAACCCCTCAAATCCACCCCATCTCTGCTCTCCAATCTCAACCCCCACATAACCAACCTTGTCCTCTCAAACCCACTCGTCCCGCCCCATTCTTGCTTGAGCTTATTCAACTTTCTCCAAACAAACCCATCTCTCACTTCCCACAAACCCAATCTTCAAGCCCATGTAGCCCTCATTTGCAGGCTCTATCAAGCTAAGAAATTTGCCCAAATGAAAATTGTATTGAATGGTATTGTCTCCAATGATATTCTTCGATGCCCTGTTTCTGAAATTGTCTCTTTGGCTGAGGATGAGCGTAAAGGGGTGAAATTTGTTGAGACATTGTGTGATATGCTGTTCAGGGTTTATGCAGATAACAAAATGTTTGAGGAGGCTGTTGGGGTTTTTGACTACGCGGAGAAGAAGGGGTTTGAGATTGAAGAAAGGTCCTGCTTTGTGCTTTTGCTTGCATTGAAGAAATGTGGTCAGGTGGATTTATGTTTGAGGTTCTTTGATCAAATGGTTGAAAAGGGTGTTCAAATCACTGTTCATTCATTGACGCTTGTGATGAATGAGCTTTGTAAGAGAGGGGAGGTGAAAAAGGCTAAGGCTTTGATGGGTGCAATGGCTGGTAGACAAATTAAGCCTAATGTTGTTACATATAACACACTTCTGAAAGCATACATTGAAAGGAAGGATTTTGAGGGTGTTAATGAGGCCTTGAGCTTGATGGAGAAGGATGGTGTGGGTTATAATGTGGCAACATGCACGCTTTTGATTGATTGGTTTGGTAGCTGTGAAAAGATTGAAGATGCTGAAAAGGTGTTTGAGGAAATGCGTGAGAGAGGGATAGAACCAGATGTGTGTCTTTATACTTCGATTATTAATTGGAATGGTAGAGTGGGAAATATGAAAAGGGCGTTGTTTCTGTTCGACGAATTAACTCAAAGAGGCCTTGTCCCAAATGCTCACACTTACGGGGCATTGATTAATGGTGCGTGCAAGGGCGGACAGATGAAGATGGCAGACATCTTGGTGAATGAGATGCAAAGTAAAGGCATTGACGTAAACCAAGTTGTGTTTAATACGCTGATGGACGGGTACTGCAGAAAAGGGATGATGGATGAAGCTCTAAGGCTGCAGGATTTCATGGAAGGGAAAGGCTTTCAGACTGATGTGTTTACTTACAGCACTATAGCTAGCGGATTGTGTAAATTGAATAGGAATGAGGAGGCAAAGAGTTTGTTGTTCACAATGGAAGAAAGAGGTGTGGCTCCAAATGTAGTGTGTTTCACTACTCTAATTGACATATTCTGCAAGGAAGGAAACTTTGTTGAAGCAAAGCGGGTAATTCAAGAGATGGAAAGGAAGGGAGAGAGACCTAACACTGTAACATACAATGCTCTAATTGATGGGTACATCAAGAAGGGTAAGATGAAGGAAGCTCACAAGCTAAAGAAGGAGATGGACGACAAGGGGTTGATGCCAGATACGTATACGTATTCATCGCTTATACATGGCGAATGTATTGATGGCAAGGTGGATGAGGCACTGAAATTATTTCATGAAATGTATCGGAGGGATTTAACTCGTAACGTTGTCACGTATACAGCAATGATTTCAGGGTTGTCTAAGGATGGGAGAACAGATGAAGCTTTTAAGTTGTATGATGAGATGAAAGGAGAAGGCCTCACACCTGATGATAGAGTATATCATTCACTTGTAGGCAGCCTTCATACAGCCAAGTCTTAACTCTATGAAGGAGTATATATAATTGTTTTATGTGACTCTATCCTCTCTCTACCTGAAGAATTCAAACTTTCTTTGCCCAGTAGAGTAAGTTGCTTGAATTTGAAAGAAGGATTTAAAATATCTGAACTATAAAGAATGGATGAAATCACTTTGGATAGGTAAAATCTACACAAATAGGTTTGCCTAAGATTGTAAATTCGAAATGCGCACTTCAAGGAAGTCCTTGAGCAAAGTTTGATCAGTTGGCTTCTGCCGAATGACACAAGAAGCGCCCACCCCACAATTAGGAGTGCTAGCTTTGAATAAAAATGTGAGAAATATACAATAACTTACAGTATAGAGTTTCAACTCTTCTACAGTAAAGCAAAGAAAGCCAATATTACAACTTTGGAGCATTGAAACCTAGCCTCCGCTAAGCTCCAAATTTTTTTACCCTTAAGCCTAAGTTGTTCGTCTCTATATTCCAAGCCTCAGCTTGCTGTACATTAAGCTCCAAAAGCTGGGAGCTCAACAGCTGAACTCCAGATTTCCTTAAAAGATACCAGAAATCGAACCAACGGAGTAGATACCATAGCCTCGTGCTGCATTTCTAAACAAGTAAAGGACCATAAGCCCCAAGCCCTTGGCTTCCAAGAGACTGCCTGAGCTTCAAGAATGCTCGGCTCTCCAGCTGCCGCACCCGCTCCTTGGACAATCCAAACATGCCACCAATCTCTGATAGTGATCTCTGCTTGCCATCTTCAATGCCATACCTTAGCCTGATTATCTGTCTCTCTCTTAAATTGAGGATGCTTAGGAGGTGGCGCACATGTTGCCTCATCAGCTGCTTTGCTACACTCACATCTGGGATCTCAACCCCAGTGTCAGCAGTTACCTCCTGCAATTGTGAAAGAAAAAATGTTTGCTTCTTAAACCATTGGAGAAACCATGCTCAATATAGTCCAACAAATTACATCACGTTCAAAATTGAAGTTGTATACAGCCATATCACATACCAGAAAAGTATGAGAGAGAGAGAGAGAGAGAGAGAGGTATATAAGAAAATCGAGACAACAAGAATCTTTACCTGAAAGGTAGTATCTTGGTCAGCCCAGACTGGTTGTTGCATTGAAAGTGGCATTCTTGTAGCATATAGCAACTTTTCCAACTTTTCAACTGTAATACCAACCCGTCTCGCTAATTCTTCTTTGCTTGGGTTGTGATTTCCTTCCTGAATACATGATTTCTTTGCCTCCAATACTTTGCCAAGAAGGCTGTACACATTCTCCTGTGAATAATTGTCATATTCAATAAAGTTCTTTTTGCTTTGCACACGCTACGAAATAGTTAACTTTTGATTATTCAGACATGGGCTAAGCAGATTTAGTATATTAGCAAGTTAACAGTGTAGATTTTCCACTATAGCAAAAAGTGGTGACGAAACTAAGAATTCAAGGTACAGATTTCAATGGCAACAGTACTTTTCCTCATCATCTGCATTAACCAATTCCATAATTTTCATTCTGTTGCAAAATCCTATGGAGACAACAGAAATTTTTCAGAACAGGATACAATCAGTTGACACAAAAGATAGAAACTTGAAGAAGAATCTCATTGCAAAGTAGAGACTGGAGACATGGTAATTTTTTCATTACCGGCAAGCGGATGGTCCTGGAATGTTGAAATATGGCCTTCCTAACTGTTTGCCTTATCCACCAGTATGCATAAGTAGCAAATCGGCAACCAGCTTGGGGCTTGAACTTCTCAACACTCTTCATGAGACCCATACTTCCCTCCTACAAAAGTATCAGATAAACATAGAAAAGCAATTTAATTCTCAAGTCCAGGCCTTACTATAAAAATCAAAATACTGCTCTTTGGTTGCAATGAAGTTTTCTGAAAAGAATTATTGTTTAACCTCCAATACAACCTAACCAAACAATCAGATAGAGCATGTGTATAATATATGCCATCCTAGGAATTGCTGACATTGCCAAGATGAATACAATAATATCCATTATCTGATCATGAAGGATACAGACGAACAATAGTTAATCTGAACAGATGGCACAAATTTAAAATTTCAATCTGGCCTGTAGGAGTTGCCAATGCAATTTCATGATCTAATACAATGCTTTACTGCATTCAAGTAAGCAAAAAAGAAAAAACTTTGGCGTAGAAGTCAAAATTTTGTCGGTAAGATGTGGTCTGTGTAACAAAAACCATCAAGTCTTAGCCCTAAGGACTACATATAAGAAAGCATGTTCCAGTGAAGTTACCTGCATTAAGTCCTGGAGGCCAAGACCTCTCCCTTGATATTGTTTAGCAATGTGAACCACCATACGTAAGTTAGCATAAATCAGCTTTTCACGGCTGCTGGTACCAGAGCGAAGCTGTGATTTCAAGATCTGACAACTAATTCCAACAGCTTCAGCCCATTCAATCAAAGTTGGTTCACGGCCAAACTGTGTTTGAAGTCTAGTCTTCACTTCTTCTAACTTAAATAAATCCTGTTACATAATTCGACACATGAATGCAGTATCAGACCCTACATAAACCAGTAATCCAAAAATCAGCAGACAAACATTACTTAGATATACACCTGAACTCGGGCAATCAATTCTGCCTCCTCTTTAGCAGTCAAAAGTTGTCTTGTTTCAGGACCCCACAAGAACAACCGCAGGGGATCATTTGGATTAAATCCTTCACTTATCTTTTTCCGCACATCTGAACTTGTAAAACTGTTTGACTCATGACCTATAACTTTTGACTTAGGCACCTTCCTTGTCTTAATTCGCTTGCGCCGCCTCTCTAGAATCCGGGTTGACCTTACAGTTGTCTCCTCCTCAACTATCCAGTTGGCCAAACTTGTATACCCCAAACTAGACAAAAATTCTTGACTTCAGTTCCAAAGGAATTTGATAGGGAAATCATAATGAAACAAGGAAGTAACACAAAACTGACCCCAGAGAAAGAGACTCGTCAAAATCAGCTCCCATTGATTGGGAGTCTTCAGCTAATGAGGCTGCTTCTCTGGAGGCTGACAAAGCTTTCTTAGCCAGGGCAACTACATTACATGGTTCGACATCCATATGCTTATTGGAAGCAGTGGTCAAAGACTCCAGAGTCAAAGGTGTGGATGGCTTTGCTCCTGTTTGTAAGGATGAAAATCTGCAAGGCAGAGATACAACATGAGCATCACATAAGGATGCAATTTGGTAACAAAATTGCAATCACCTGAAAAAAAAAAAAAAAAAAAAGGAGTTTTATTCATCTTACACATCTAAAATATCAGGGTTAAGCAATTGGGGCTTAGAGCCGTTCACCAACGGGTAAAAGTCATCAATGTCTAAATCTTCATGGACAGAGGCCCCAGTCTCTATCTGCATCCTATCTAATGTAGCCTAATAAAAACACAGAAAATGGTAATTAATTAGGAGTTTCCCAGGAGAGAAATAGAGATAGCGTATGAGACAATTTCTAAGAAGTAAGGAATACCAAGTAGGAGTGTGAAATGGTCAATGTGTAAGAAAGAAGAAGCCTCACAAAATCTTGAATTATACAAATCAATGGTGGCATTTTAAAAAAGAAAATTAGTATCATCAATAGGCATAATTTCAAATGAGGGAAAACAGAAGTTTGAGCAAGGAGTTTTACACCATTGAGGATTATTCAAGTTATATGAAGTGCACGTCTAAAGCGCACATCTGATCTAACTTATATGCAGAGCATTTCTACAACAGAAGTCTAACCTCAGATGTTTTATCTTCTTTCAGTACATGCAATAGAGGCTTGAACTCATCACGCTGCTCTTGTAAAAGAACCGAGGTAGGAAAATGTCGAGCTACAGATGTAATCGGCACAGAAGTAACTGCAGGAACTGCTTGCTCATGAAGCATCAAAACTGAAAAATTAGGAGTACCAACAACCTGACGTTAACCAACAATGGACAAGGGGGGGTAAATTATCCCTTACTTAATCATTTTTGTAGACAATTACTATCAGCATAATAATCTGCATCTCTTCATGAACTCCAATAGTATCAGACTCTAAAGAATTAACTTAAGTAACTCAGCATCTCAATTCTCATTCTAGAACCTTTTATCCCAGAGGGATAAACACACAATTATTCACACTCCTATGCATGTAAGCGCAGAAAAATAATCTTTTTTGAGAACTGTTTCAACAGGAAATAGAATATTAAAAAATATCCGCTACTTCCAAATGTAGCTCTTGCATTAGGATTTTACGTGGAAAAGATTTATGCTAATAGTCTTTGTTCCACAATTTAGCGCAACAATTCAAGCAAGTTCAAGGAATAAAAATCAAACACAACAATTAAATATGTAAAACTCATCTCAGAAACACAAAAGCTCAACATACCCAGTTGCTGTATTGGGATTAAACATAAAGACCAATCATTCCCAACTTATGTTTAAGTACCTATGGCTGAATTCCAAAAACTATAAACTTTCCGAGTAAATTCTCAGCAAGCAAACAGAATAAATGAGAAAATGGAGATATCAAAGTAGTGAACTTTTTTTACCTGAAGTAGAGGGAGAAGAAGAAGGAAGAGGATGCCTGAGGTGGGTTGTTGAAGGAAAGGCTGAAGATGAAGAAAGAAAGTGTCTTCCAGCCTCCATTGGAAGAACAAAATAGTTATTTATCAGTGTAGCTAAGCTAGCGGTATATTCAAGTAAAGCGGTGTATATTCTGCCCTGCTATTTTGTGTACCTTGCATTGGCTTCCTGTGTTTTGCAGATAATGTAGCAGGGGAGGTTCTGCTCCTGCTTTCAGAGACAATTTCACACCTCAAAATCATTTGCTTTGTTTTCTTTCAAATGGATCAGGTTGGGCTTTTTCACCCTTTTTCATTTTTGTTGTTCTTCATTTTTGAATGAAAAGAAATCAATAACTTGGGCTTGACCGAATAACACAGGCCTTGTTAATGTAGGCCTATTCTTTGGGAAGTTCCTGCCCAAGTTTAGAGTATAAGGGGCTTGAGCCAGAGTGTTTGACGGACCTCTAGTCTAAACCTGGCCCATGATAGGACTTATAGGCCCCAGGCTTTTCTCGTAACCCAACCCGTAGTTGATTGTCCATCTCTTTTTCTCGTAACCACACGTGAACGACTGTCACAACAAGCACGTTGCTTTTTTCTTTCGTAATATTAGTGGCGATGTTTGGTTTAATAGAATGAAAAGGAATGGAATTCTCATAGAATGGACCCAAAATTAAGATCCGGAACAAGATATTGAGTCCGAGCCCACACCCCGAAACCCATATCCGAAACAAGGTTTGAAATTTAAAACTAACAAACAAACAAGTCATAAAATGTTCGAAACAAACAAAAGAAAAATATAAATGCAGTAACAATGATCGCAAGAGAATTAGGTAACAAAACTATAAATTCTCCTATGACGGTACGTTGGAAAATTACTGAGAGAGATGTGATACCATTGCCAACACAATGTTGTGCTGTAACCCACGAGCGAGTGGATTTGGATAGCAGGGGCCTTTGTGACATTTCAGTCTCAGTATCCGACATTGGTCAAACTGTCAGAAACAAAACCACCAAACAAAAACCTGAAACACTGGTTACAAGCGCGTGACACGACAGAGAAAGAGGGGCCTGCATCAGGCGCTTTTTCTGTTGATAAAAAAACAAAAAATATCAGACAGTATTTTCGTTTTGTTTTATTTTTGTACACAACTAAGTCTAAGTAGGCTGATTACAAACGTCACGAGAATAAGGAAAAGGTTAAGACATTGTTGATTCAATGAAGTTAAGTAGGCTCTTTCCCACAAACAAAAAAAAAAAAACCTAAGTAAGGGCTGATTACAAACTTCACGAGAATAAGGAAAAGGTTAAGACGACACCTGACATATGTAAAGTATTATTATCATTTTCCATATTTAAATTATTATTTTCGTACAAGCCTAATTCACTAATTCATGTCTTTATTCAATGTAAAGCTATCTCTCTCTCATCCGCTGCCTGCTGCTCTCTTCAAACCAGCGCGTGTACCCCTTTACCCAAAACAAGTTAAAAAACCATGCAAAACAAACCAAAACACACACTCACTCTCTCTCTCAGAGTCCCCACGGGGCCCACCATCAACCCGCCTCACTCACACGAGAAATAAAAAGGGCCCCTCTCTCTCTTTCTGTGGGGTCAATCGAATTCCACCACCCTCTCAAAGCCCTAATTTCCCTCTCTCTCTTTCTCTCTCTCTGAGTGCCCAAACCCTAAAACCACCACCACAACCACCCATGGGCTCGGAGATGGCCCTTGCCCCCCTACGCAACCACGAAGACCCGACCCATATTCCCACCGCCCTAGAAACGGCGTCGTCCCATCAGCACTCCCAGCAATCCATACAATCTCTACAGCCCAAGACACATAACCAGCTCTCTCAGACCCGAAAGTCCGCGTCTTCCAGGGACCGCCACACCAAAGTCAACGGCCGGGGACGGCGAGGCC